TATATATATATTAATGTCTCACTCAACCAGAATGTGTGTTATATCAACTGTGTAAAAGTAGTAGTAGTTACGGACACGTCTCAAGAATAATGACTACAATAAAATATTCTTTCTAGAATTTTTCTCTCATTTTATATAAGAAGCAGGCTCGTAATAAGAAAAAAAAAATAATATACCTTGTTTCCGAAATTAAGGCTGTCTAGTTGAATGAAGAGCAAATTATTATCTGAATTATCTATAGTCCAGCATTTATCATTCTCGTTCATTCCGAGTGCGGTATAGGTATCTGAAATAGTGCCATTTGTTTGTCTTCTTTCTATGCAAGAGCAATAGACCAAGCCTGAAATTTATTTATTTTAGTAATCTGCAAGATTGACTAATTAACATTTCATTGAATTATAATTATGTTTTAACACGTTCACGCCGGGAAAAGTGAAAATACTGGTAGAATAACTATTTCAATATTAGATAATATTCGGGAGGAGTTAATCTATTCTCAACAATAACAATTCACTGAAAGGAATTTTATCACCGCGAAGAAGCAATTCAACATAAAAATTGCATCTGTTAAAAACAATTTGTAGATATGGATTTTTATTATTCCCGGAAAAAAACTAAAAAATGAAATTTATTTGTTACCAGTTTTTAAACCGGTGCGCTGCTAAGGTGAGACAATCTAGCGTGACCCACCGGTGGGTCACACCGGCGTGAACGTGTTAAGTATTAAAGCAATCCCTTCCATTACCATTTTTCCCAGTGGTATTAAAACTTCAATTTTAAGCAAACAATACCTTGTATTTGAGAAAACTTAAGATGACAACCATGATAGTAACGCTTATTAATATATGTGCTTCATTTTTGTAAGAATAGTGGTGATCAAAATCATTTAAAAATTAAGTTTATACAAGAAAAAATAGTATATATTTACTACCACTTTAAATATGAAAATAAAATCTTCCAAAAAATCCGGAAGAGTTGGCAGGTATGCAATTTAACTTTTGCAGACACAAAAAGTTCGCCTTACTCCCAGGATTGCCAGACGTAGTATTTTTAATACTACGGTAGTATTTTTTCACCAAAAAAAAGGGGTATGGTATTCTTCGTAGTATTTTTTTAAAATGTGGTATTTTCAGTTTATTTTTTTTTATTTATTTTTTTTATTTTCATTTCCTAAAACAAAGAAAAGTGCTACTCTAGTTTTGAAGTAAAAAACAATTTCTGAAATAATCCAACAGTTTATTTTCTATTAGTCACTGTATCTAGTGATGATTGTGAAAAATGAAAGTTCGTTTATACTTGTAGACTATAATATAAATTGTTTCTTATGCACGTTGATTAAGTATATTTTACTTTTCTGTTCTATGTAGGATGTGAGACAAAATATGAGATTTTATATTTTCATTTAGGTTCAATTTTATACAACTTTGAAACAAATCGTTTATGATACACAAGAGACATTATTATGATACACACAACTCTTTGTTTATTCTTCAAAAGACAAAGTTGCTGATAAAAATATTAGTTACTACACGTATACCTGAAGTATAATTGCACAAAAGGATAATTGTTTTAAGATAACTGTTAAAGGATAATTGTTTTTCAATTATAATATTATTTTATCCTCAACTAAAATAAATTTAAATATAATTCTAAAAAACTTTAGCCAGACGATATAAATAATGTTAATTATAATAATAATAATCGTCTGTCTCAGTTTTCGTCTGCATAAGCTTTCAAAAAAGTCCTGTAGATAGCGCTTAAGACATGTAGTGTTTTGTTGTATTTTTACGGATGAAGTCGTAGTATTTTTTATTTTCAGAGTCTGGCAACCCTGCTTACTCCGCAAATATAACCTGGACCATGGATATAGCGATTTTTTAGCAAACTGCCAGTGGAGTAACAATTTATTTTTCTCAGGTTTCATAAGTGCCGATTGTTAAATTTCATCTTAAGTAATCTTTAAACCATAGTACAGTAAACGAAAAAAAAAATGGATGTCTCTTATAACTTTTGAACTATTGGTCAGATTTTCATTCAGTAAATTGTCATTGCAATATCTCAAAGAAATATCTTGATTATTCTGCCCCGTTTACAGATGACAGCTTTTTTTGTCGCAAAAAAAAAACAAATTTTTTCTGAAGAAACATATTAATTTTTTATTGCATTCGATTTAGTGAGCAAGAATAATCCATATAACCAAATGTCATAAAATTCTGACGATTAGGGTGTTTACTAAGACGAATGAAAATTTGGCATAAAAAATGGAATGTCTTCAATTTTTGGCACTGGTAGAAACAAATTTACGTAAAGCATCACTCAGGAATCGCCTTCTTTTTGCAAAACTTTTAATAAATTGCTAACGAATTCACTGCTGTAACCTGAAGAATGAGAAGAATTATGCCTACTTTTTTTACAGCGTCATCACCAGAAAACTGCTAGAAGTTGCATTTCATATGATAATTCATATTGTAGATGTGTAGTGATGAAAAAATTTCTTCAAAATGAAAAATATTAAACTAAAAATAACTTAAATATCGTTAATTTCGTTACCACTAGTAAATATTTTTTTTTACAAATCTGAGAAAGATGGCATGTCTTCATTTTCGTGTGTACACGCTTATGGGAACAAAGAAAAAGTATCAATTATTGATAATGCAAATCAGGGAATCCTTTTAACAGTTTAGAAGCCTATGTCAAAATTTGTCGAAACCCTTTTTTTTTTAATTGTTTCATTTGAAATGTTTCAAAGCCTATTATAGTTTAGATTTACTGTGTATGGTTACGTACAGTGCGTCAAAAAAAAAAGAAGAAAAAAAAGAAACAGATGACCCTTAGTAACTTTTGATCTAATGCTCGGACCTTCACTTTCTGGGACCCAATCTTAATGGTTCAAAGAGGTAACCTCAAATATTCTAGTTAATTTGTTTAGACTATATTTTACGTTACGAAATAAGACACAAAAACGTTCTTTCTCTGGATAAAAATATAAAAAATTCCAACGAATTTGGATTTCTTACCCCTAAAATGTATGACTTAAAATTCGATTTCTCGGTAATTATTCGGCCGATTTCGCTTAAATTTTTTACTTCGCCATTTAAAATTACTCCCATTAAAATGATGAAAAAAATTACAAACGATACAATTCAAATATTTTTCAATTATTATTAAATAAAATATAATAAATATTTACTATTTTTTATTTTTAAGCAAACAAATTTTATAATCGTGCCCAAAAAATTTTCAATTTCCTTAAAAGTTCTTGAAATATGCTAAAGTAACATTCACATTAGGGAGTCCAAAATTTGGATGACTTTCTTGACGGAGCTATGGGAACATGTTTCCCAGATTGCAGCAACCCCCTATATTTTAAGGGTCAGAAATTCGAGTTCGTCGAATAAAGGTAAGTTTATTCAGAGAAAGTACGTTTTTGTGTCTGATTTCGTAACTTATTAATTAATTAGCACATTTGAGGTCAAACTCTCCGACCATTAAGTTTGAGTCCTAAAATGTGAAGATTTGATCATTAAATCAAGAGTTACTCAGGGTGGAAAGCTTTTTTGCTCTCTGTTTATACAAATATTCTTTCAAATTAAAGCTTAAGGCTTTACGCAACAGTTTTTGAAAAAAAAAATAATTTGTTTAATTGAACACATACACGAACATGTATATATATACATATATATATATATATATATACAGTCAAACCCCGCTATAGTGAACCATCAAGGGACCGAAGTTTCGGTTCACTATTACCGGGAGTTCACTATATCCGTTACGCAGTCAATTTAACTAATGGTTCCGTAACTCCTCCCTTTTATTACACATTATTCAAATAAATGACTGAAAAATATCATGAAGTAGCAAATAATGTGTTATTTTTCATTACTCTTCGTCTTGCGTACAAAAAAATTAGTAATCTTTAGTTGATGAGCAAACCTCCCCATTAGATATGGAAACACTTCCCAAGTCTCAGATAATTTTTCCTGAATTTCTGTTATTCCGCTTTTAAAACCTGTCTCACCTGTCATTCGAGCACATAAAAGTAGTTTCATAAAATCGCTTAGCAAATTCATCGACATTTGCCAGATACTGGAAGATTGCGGCTTCTTCGATTGGTGAACCACTTCAGCAATGCTTCTTCAGCATCCTTGCAATCTGCTTTTCTCAACTTTTTTCCACCATCTAAATTTTTTTCATGAGCAGAAATTATTAATTGTCTATTTTTCCATATGTTACAAACTGCAGATTTGGATAGTTTATATTCCCTGTAAATATCAGTTTGACTGCATTCATTTTCAATTTTTCTGATTATGCCCATTTTATCATCAATGGAGAATGTTTTACGTTTACTGCTAATCATAGTTAAATTTGAGACACTTCTTTGCAGGATTTATTTTAACTGAACTGAGAGCAAAAAGGAGTTGAAATGAGGGTCATATCAACACATATTAGTGTCCAACTCTTTGACCAGTAATGAATAATTACTCATTCCCTCTGAAAAAATGCATGTCGATCCCGCTGACACCTTACTGGTGCATCGTCTGCCTGGGTTGGAAACATCTGCTTAGTTTGTTTAGGGATGGGAAGGAGAGATAAAAAAAGCAAACAAGAAAAAATGCTTAGCGCTACATTCCCCTCTATAGATGATTTTGAAAATCGGTATATAGTCCCGCAGTGGACTGATCGTTAAGACACGGTTCTCATCAGATCACCGAAGTCAAGCATCACTGGCTGCGGTCAGTGGGCGGGTGGGTGACCCACTTGGATCAGTCTGCGTGGGGACCGAGGGTGTGCGGTATTGGTTCTCGTTAGACTGTGCTACCGTAAAGTGCTTGACTTCGCGTGCAGGTCATTGGGCTACCGAAGCGGGGGTGCCATCCCCTCTGCAGAGGATCAAAATTGTGATGGCATGTCTTCGGATCATCCTCAGGGATGTTTCCCAGACCGTCGCCAATAGCCCATTGTGCAGCTCTAGTGCGACGTAAATCAACAACAACAACAAATCGGTATCTGTATTTAATTTGAAGTAGAAATTTCAAAATTATTACAAACAAAATTTTTTAAAAAATCAGTCGAAGACAGAAAAAAGTTCACTATATCCAACTTCCTCACTTTTTTGGTTCACTATATCCAGGAGTTCACTATAAACCGTGTTCACTATAGCTAGGTTTGACTGTATATATATATATATATATATTCAAAAAATTGTTTTGCTAGCTCTTCCGTGGATCTTACAAACGTATAATAGTGATGGTAAGTTTACATAGAGGGGAGCAATTTTAATAAAGTATCTCTTTAATAAAGTATCACTTTAATAAAGTATCACTTTAATAAAGTATCACTTTAATAAAGTATCGTTTTAATAAAGTATCTCTTTAATAAAGTATCACTTTAATAAAGCATCACTTTAGCGATTAGAGTTCTGATCCTGCAACAGGAGACTTGGGGCTGCTTAAAAGTCTGAAAACAATTTCACTTCCTTAAAAAATGTAGTGGTGGTTACAAATATGTGTAACTATTGATACTTGTTGATTTTCATCACGACTTCTTAAAATTTGTAACACTTGTGATAATCCTACTTGAAAATAACACAGAACAAATGTAAATGTTCTTCTATAAATATTAATTCAATTAATCACAACTATAATATGTTTGCTTATAATTATTTCTGATTCTTATAATTAGTCTTATTATTATTTTCTATTATTCGATCTATCATTATTTTCTTATAATTAATTCCATTATATATGCGCTATTTTTGACTCAAATTTTCATCTGGAATTCTCTCCATATGAAGGAATGTATTAGTAAAATTAAAAACTAAAAAAAATTACTGAATCTTTTTCTTTTTTGAATGAAGAATTATATTATAAATAAAAAATATTGCAATAAAACTTCGATACTCACACATTTGGCCAAATAATATTCCTAGAATGCAGAGGAAATTACTAATTCTAATCATTTCTACTTGACAGAATATAAGCAATACTCAACAAAAAAACTTTTCGAAATGAAAACTAAAATTCTTTCTATAATACACTAATATTATGAACTACAAAACTTACTGACAGTCTTTTATATATTTTTGCTGAGAAAAAATTTAAAGAAAAGATAACATCCACGAGGTCAAACTTGCCGATGGTCAACAATAATATAAGGGAAATTTCCCCTTTTCTTTAATGATATGTATCTTTTGAAGAGGATTTCAAGTGCTCAATAGTTTCAAGATGATAAACAGAACTTTTCTGTGCGATACACAAGCTTATCAATATGAATGAAATCATTGTTTAAAAACTCATGTTTCAATCAAATACGTTTATTTCATCAAATGATGTGTCATCGGCATTTCTGTTTTAAAAGTAAGTTGTGCTTTAAAAAAATTAAGAAAGTTTTTTTTTATTTATTTTTATTCGGAAGCAAATTTTAATCAAGAACAAAACAGTAAAAAAAACTTATAACAAAATTAAACAAATATTTTAAAAGTCTTGTTTTTCAAATAGAATAAATCGGAGAAAATAATTTTATTCTTGTTAGAACTAGAACGAAAAATGTGACATTGGGGAGGATTTTAGATGGTGGTAGAAAATTAATACGAAACTGATGCATCCTGCATTTTTCTCTTTAGGTCTGATAAAAATATAATTATCTGATTGAAATCTTCAAAATCAACTCGCTTTAAAAATTGAAATTATTAAATAGCAATTAACTGTCAACATGTTACAAAATTAGGCACCCATTTTCAAGAATCGTGAACAAGAAGAAATCAAAAGTGATTTGAAATATAAAAAAAAATCTTGTGTACAAAAAATCGAAAAAATAAAGGTGAGAAACAAATTTAGAAGAAATACATTTTCTCACCTTTATTTTTCCATTTTTCGTGGGCAACAATACGTTTTTTTTATAATTTCAAATCACTTTTGTTTCTTCGCAATCACGCCTAGCACGTCTGGAAAATGGGCACTTATGTTTGACGCGCTTGAAACACGTCGACAGTTATATTTGCTATACATATATATTTTTGAAGGCAATGAAGTTTTTAATTAACATGCCACGTTTTACATGGCTTGCCCACCTGGCCACGATAAATAACAACAAACTAAATTTGCAAATATTAGACGGATTTTTCTATTTTTTTAGAAGGTTTATCATGACATATCAGATAAACGTGGTGAATTATATAAGCCTAAGAATTATATAAAAATAGTGGTGGATAAAAATCTACTAAATTGAATTTATTAAACAAAGAATTACAATAATTAAGTAAATTTTCTGCAATTCCATAAAAGACTGTAAATTTTATAGTTCCATATCATGTCGTTGTCAGCCAGCTGCTTTTCGCGGCCTATGTGAAAGGTCAGTGTCAGCAAGCGGTGGCAGACGCAGCCTAAATGTAATTTCAGTGTCAGCCACGGGTGGTTAACGCAGCCTAAATGTAATTTCAGTGTCAGCCACCGGTGGTTGACGCGGTTTAAATGTAATTTCAGTGTCAGCCACCGGTGGCTGACGCGGCCGAAATGGGAAGTCCAGTGTCAGCCACCGATGACTCACGTGGCGCTCACCGTGTTAAGTAATTTCTCACTACTTCAGTTTCTCGAGATTGTTTACTGAATTTAAAATTATTTTTTTTTCTTTATTCTGCTCAAGAAAAAGTTCTCTATGAAATTTTACTTTATTAAATTACTATTATCTTCAGTTTTATGTGTATTTGTTTACGTTAAAAAATGGTCAATATTACAATTGGCAATAAAATGGCTATACATTATACATGTACCGTTAAGAAAAAAAATTGTAAATTGAGTTGGCATCACGCACTGAACTTAAGGCGAAATTTGAGGACTATAGTTAGTCGGAAAGTGGTCAAAGTTTTGATTAAGAATAAACTACATAGGGTGTTTTGAATAATACCACTTGTACTGATTGTAGCTGACTTGTAGCTCCAATTTAATCTTGAACACTGTAACAAGGTGAAGAATTTAGATAACGATAAATTGCTTTTGGTGCTAAATTCCATTTGTAATGATTAGGAAGAGCTTCTATGCAAAAGTACAATGATTAGGAAGCGCTTCTATGCAAAAGTACAATGATTAGGAAGCGCTTCTATGCAAAAGTACAATCTCCAAATAAAATTTTCACTCTAAAGTTGTTTAATTGACAATAAGTTATTTTTGTTGAATTTCTGATGAACATTTTTCGGAACAGTAATCTGGTATTGATTAAAATCTGGTGAAAAAGGAAATATGTGTGCTTATATGTCAAATATGTGTCACAATTATGCGAACTTACTCCGCTTTCTGAAAAAAATTTTTAGTGGTAGTGAACTTTGATAAATTTAGTTAAGTTACTTTAAATAACTTTTCCGCCACTATATATCAAAAGTTCAAAATATAATATGAAATGCAGCTTTGCAGCTGTTAGCTTTCCTCCTTTCATTTCGGGCGATATTCCTCTCTGTGCACCTGCGAAGTTGGAAGAAATAATTAATTTTATTTGAATTCATTATGTTATTCTCCCTTGCACAAGGCGCGTAAATTATTAAATTCTCCGATCACTTTTGTTTCGGCAACTGTCAACTCAACTTCAATTTATTGAAGTTGAGTGAATGAGCTAGAGCCCCCATCATGGATAAAAACCTCAATTAGGAATAGGCAGTTATCTTGTGGTGACACTTTTAAAGAGTGGGCGAAATTATTCTTATCGTACAAGTTTTATTATTTAATTTTCTAACAATTCATTAAAATTTTTGCAGAAAGCGGAACAGTTGGATTATCGATCCAACCCATTGGAAACTGGCCAAGATTATTTACCAAAGCAGTAGTCAAATAACAGTCAGAATGAAATGTCATCTGACATTGACTACTGCTTAGGAAAATAATCTTTGGAAAATTAAAGGGTAGTAGGTATCTATCTGTACCTAACATCCATTAAAAAAATAGGGCTCTACACAGCAAAAACAAGTGTTGTTCTACTAGCTAAAATCCAACCCCCCTCCCTCCCAAGGAAAAGGATCTATATGTATGAAAAACACCTACATGATAAAAAGTCATACAACACATTTTGTTAACCTAAGTGGAAATTTCTAATACACATCACTTTAATTTTAAAAAGAGCCAAGCGGATTTCAATATCTATTCAAAAACAAATTTATATCATTAATATATTATGGTAGGTAGAGCTAAATTGATTTTGTAAAATAAATATTTAAAAAAAACTCAACCACTTATTTTAACAACAAAAAAAAAAAACATTATTTTAAAATTATTTTTTTTTCTATTTATATCCATATAAAAATCCTTTTATAAACTCCATTTGTATATGTATTCATGAACTGTAGCATTTTTATTATCGCTAACAAAACTTCCGTACCTACAAACAATAAATCTTTTTGAGGATAATTTTTCCGAAAGGTAGTAAAATTTATTTTGATTATAGGTAGACAAATATTATTCACTTCACTTATCAATTAGAGCTGGATACCTGACCGGCATTTACCCATTATTGTCAGTAGGGTAGATAAATAATATAAAAATGAAAAAAGCTTTCTTAGGAAAGGATATCCTTGTTCTTTTGCAGGGTGGTTACAGGCGACTGTAAATGTAAAAAGTAGTAGAAACTTAATTTTTATTTACTAATTATATCTTTCATTATTCAACTGTATTTACCACTATGTCTTACGTTTCAAATTATTTATATTTAAAGCAAAAAGGCAGTACAGGGAAAAAAACATCCATTTTACTACCAATTTAAACATGAAATTAAAATTATAAAATAATTTTATTGACTGTATTGCATGCCTGCCAACTTTTAATCCTTCCGAGGATGATTTTTCCCAGTGGTAGTAAAATAGAATGCGACATACCTTTTATTTTTAGTAAGCTTCCGCGGACTACTACAACAGTATTTTATGCTAATATATATACTTAATTTTCTTTAAAAAGAGTGGTGATCAAAAATATTATAAATTTTGTTTATAAATACAAGGAATGTATAAAAAGCATACATTTTACTACCACTTTAAATATGGAAATAAAATTTTACGCGAAATGCGTAAAAGTTGGCAGGTATGGATTGTTCTTTTTTTAAAAATGTTATAATAAATAATATATTATTAATTGAAAAAACAGGCTTGTAGTGCATGAAATTGCATGAAGGACGAATTCTCATTTTATAATTAACAGTTTTTATCAGTCGTACTTATTATTTTTCTTTAAGCTATAAACTTTTTTGTATCAATGATAAGCAATAATTTATTATGAAAAGTTGTTGAAAGCAATAACAATCAATTCATTAATTTTTAATTAGTCGTGCCTCGTACGTCGTTGATTTATTTATTGTATTAGTCTTTCTAAACAATTAAAAATGTTTCATCTGATAGACTTTTGACTATATCTTTTGATCTCGAATTCCTATTGGTTCCTTACTTCACACTATCAATTGTAAATATGTTATCTGAACGGTAATTAATCGAAATACTGATTGTCCAACTAATTAACAGTGTCCCAACTCCACGGATATTTAAGCAAAATCGTCAGTTACAATAGAGAATTTTGAATTCGAGTACAAGGATTTTCATTTTTATACCGAAAATGATTCAGTTGAATTTATCTTTCATCGTTTTAGGGTTTTTATTTTGCCAAATAGGTAAGTACGTTTTGAGTATAATGTATAGTTAATATTTTAACAAACTTAATTACTATTAAAATTAACTATTTTCCTAACTTAATTATCAGTCCTAAATTTCATAAAATTAATATAAAATTTAGAACAATCTCATGTGAGTCTAATACTTATCTAACTAAACCTGGCACCATTTTACCGAACTACTTAAGTTAAATTATTAACAATATTATTAAGGAAGATTTTTCTTGGATTATCACTAAAAATATATATTGCTGTGATAATATATTATATTGCACTTCAAGATGTGGCTTGGTACGAGTAGAGCCTAACTTATAAGCAAAATATTTTTCTGACGTCACAATGACAGTGGAAAAGGTTAACCATTTTTGCTCAGTATTTGAAGAACCTCTGCTGAGGAAGAATGTTTGCCAGTATCAATGGACGTAAAGAGTCACGGGTTTGTTTAAGACAAAAATAGACATGATATCGGAAATCAAGGAACCACCTTATTATATATGATACAAGATAAATTTAATAAAAAATCTCATTTCAAAAATAAAATTTATAATAATTTGTTTAATGCTGATTTTAAAATTTCATTTTAAATAATTGCAGTATAATTAAAAATAATATTAATATAACTCATAAAAATAATAATTGAATAAATAATATTTATAGAATTAGTAATTATAATAAAAATAATAATATAATTTCTCAGAACTATAAAGAAATTAATATTTTATTTCCCCATAAAAAAATTTTAAAAATAAAATATTGAATTTTTCTTTAGATATTTTAAATATCTTACATCTATATTTGATGTTAAAAATATTCACTCTGTGCTGGTATAATGTTTTTATCGATAAAGTAATAAGGCTAGCTGGCGTAAGGTTACCTCACCCAAGGTTGTGACACTGACAACAAATTTTTTTATTTTCTTTTGCCATTTACAGTAAAGTTTTAATTAGAGTAGTAAAAAAAAGTTGTGCAAATACATTTTGAAAAATATTCAAACCTGTACAATTCAATTTAAACGTGATACAATGGAGCATCGTTTATATGACGATCACTTATACGACGTTTACATTTATACGACGTTTTAGTGTGGTCCCAAATCATTCCTATTCATTTTAATGTAAAAATATATCGTTTATACGACGCACAGAATCGGTTATACGTCGATTTTTAGATTTTGTTCATTATTTAATTTTTTATTTTTTCTTGTGTATTTTAAAAAAGGGCGGAATTTGCCAACATGNTAAAACAAATAAATTCGTGATATAAATCAAAAATCGTCAAATAAATTCGTAATATATATATTCGTGAAAAAAAGCGCTTTCGACAAAATACTAAAAAAGCTACTCACTTCTGCCTAGCTTATGCTCGCTCTAGTTATTTCAGTTTCAGTTTTTGAAAGCGCTATACGTTGAGCCATCTCAGCTGGATTTGGCATGTGACATTTTTAGCGGCAATCATTGGTCGATTTTCTAGCGTTGCCATTCGGGGAGTTGTAATGAGGCTTTTTTTGTCGCCGTGTAAGAGAAATGTATATATAGATAGCACTTCAAGATGTGGCTTGGTACGAGTAGAGCCAAACTTATAAGCAAAATATTTTTCTGACGTCACAATGCCAGTGGAAAAGGTTAACCATTTTTGCTCAGTATTTGAAGAACCTCTACTGAGGAAGAATGTTTGCCCGTATCAATGGACGTATAAAGACTCACGGTTTTTTTAAGACAAAAATAGACATGATATCGGAAATCAAGGAACCACCTGATTTGATACAAGATAAATTTAATAAAAATTATCATTTCAAAATTAAAATTTATAATAATTTGTTTAATGTTGGTTTTAAAATTTCATTTTAAATAATTGTAGTATAATTAAAAATAATATTAATATAACTCATAAAAATAATAGAAAAAATAATAATTGAATGAATAATATTTATAGAATTAGTAATTGTAATAAAAATAATAATATAATTTCTCAGAACTATGAACGAAATTAATATTTTATTTTCCCATAAAAAAAATTTAAAAATAAAATATTGAATTTTTCTTTTGCTATTTTAAATATTTTGCATCTATATTTGATGTTGAAAATATTCACTTTGTGCTAGTATAATGTTTTAATCGATATTAAAGTATTAAGCTGGCGTAAGGTTACCTCACCCAAGGTTGTGACACTGACAAAATTTTTTTTAATTTTCTTTTGCCATTTACAGTAAAGTTTTAATTACAGTAGAAAAAAAAGTTGTGCAAATACATTTTGAAAAATATTCAAACCTCTACAATTCAATTTAAACGTGATATTAAAAAATAATTTCTAAATAATCTCACTTTACGTAAACATAATATCAGCTAATTATTATCTTTAGCAAGTCCATATTTATCCATTAGGGATATCTAGGAGTCTTAAATTTCCTATTGACTCTACTGTTTGACATAAATCAATATCTGATAATATCTATAAATGAACTTTATTTCTTCTTATTAATCCTTGATGAGTTTTGACTATTTATAAACTAGACATGAAATGCCTCCTATGACGATCGAAATTCTGTTTTTGCCTTGAATTTCAATCTTGTCAAATCATACTTTGATGTAACTACGTTAGCCTTAAAAAGTAATCTGCAAAATAAAAATAGCTTTCTGAATTTGGTGATTTACCAGAAACTGAGCTATACTGCTGTAACAGATGATGAATAAGCTAAATAAATTCAGAGCAAAAGATCTGGCTAATAAGTATTCAGAGCAGAGTCAGAAGTTATTAAAGGAATTTGAAAAAAAAAATGTAACTGCATTGCACTGAAAATCAACTTGACTACACACTAAAAATTTGATCATCAATAATACACTAGTACCCAGTAACTGGTCCAGTTTGAATATTATGGGTCAATATTAAGAAGAGATATAGGGCATGTTGTAATACAGAATATTGTCTTTGAATTTCCTCATTTTGACACTATTATAAATATACATACATAACCTCGTACCTGCCAACTCTTTCGGATTTTCCGGAAGATTCTATTTTTATATTTAAAGTGGTAGTAAATATATACTATATTTTCTTTTTTAAACTTAATTTTTAAATGATTTTGATCACCACTCTTCTTTCAAAAATTAAGCAAATTAAGCACATTTCTATATGCGTTACTATCATGGTAGTCTCCAATGCCATTAGTTTCAGTCGCCCTAGGGCATAACACAGATCAGAGGTCTAGTGCCCGCTTGCGCGGGCAGGTACCTTGCCAAAATTACGTGATCCAGCATGGTAGTCAACTTAAGTTTTTGCAAATGCAACGTATATGTATGCTTAAAATTGAAGTTTTAAATCCATTTTAATACCACTGGGAAAAATGCTAATGGAAGGGATTAAAAGTTGGCAGGTATGTAACCTATAGGGCCATATTGTAGGCCCCTATTCGGCCTATAATTATTTCCTCTTTTAGGGTTATATTCGATTAGGATTTTGAACCAGTTAAAAAAATATTCAAGAAATTCATCAAAAGTCATGATGCTCCATATTTAGAGAATTACTTGGGAAAAAAAACTATGTAGTTAAAAAATAGTCAACAGTACCAGTAAATTAAACCAAAAATTGTAAATTTTTGTAGTACATATTTTAAAACAAATATATCCTGAAGGAAAAATAATATTATAAAAATGAAATTTATAAAAAAGTATATTTCTTATATTTCTTTTGTTTTATAGCTTCTGTTAAATCGTGTGTAAAAGAGACAAGAAGATCTGGAGAAATTACTATCGAAGCAAAAACGATATTGGATTCTCTAGACATACAAGAGTGCATAGATATACATATACCACCGAATCAATTCATACGCCTCAATATTCAAGAGCTCACGCTTTATTTCACGGTAATGTATTTTAAGGATTTCTTTGAGCTATTGTCATAACACTTTACAGAATAAAAATCTATCCTACCATTCAAAAGCTTTAATGATGTTCCTTTTTTTGCAAGTTGAACAAAATTATAGAAACATTTCTAAACTAAATGCACAAAATTCTAAGAATTCAAAACAATCATT